TTCGGACCTGTACCGAATCATGTTCAAAAATGGAGAAATTTTTTCATTTTTTTCCGGAAAAAAATGCACCCATCTCAATTTTTCCTGCGAGAACAGAATCATACACGGTATGAAGTTATGAACAAAACGATAGCAAAAATATATATTTGATTCCCCAGCTGAGATCAGGAGTTTCCAAAGCTCAATTATAAAAAATGACGACTTGGCGTAGAAGTGTACAAAAACCAACAACAACGAATTTTATGCGTTTGACGTTTCGAAACTGAACGTTTTTACTCGGGGAAAAACTTCAAATTAGAATTACCTTCAAAATCGTTCTTCGATGAAACCTCTACTACGCTTCTAACCCGAAGCGAATCTCCGACGGAAGTAGGCGGCTCTGAAAAAATCCAAAGAGAATAAAATAATAAAAATCTGATGGAAAAATGGGGAAAAAATTCCGAGGCAACTTCACATTATATGAGCGATGTTTATGTACATTGTAGTTTCACCCTAGTGATATGGAAAAAAACACCAGTGAAAAAATATATTCCGCGACTACTGCGAATATCGTAAATAGGTGAAACTCCAATATTTTATGTTCATATCGTATACCCATAAAATTTGTCAATGAAATTTTATCGTGGATCAACTACTTGCGATACGTTAGTACACCATCATCATCATCGCCTTCCCGAGTAGAGTTTCATCGTCATTTCGAAAACACTAGTGAAAAACACGAAAAACATATCAAAACACGTGATGCGTTTTACGTGGTATGGAATTATTTTCCAATCTGATTTGACCACTTCATGAGGAGTATTACATCCCTTGAAAAACTCTCTAGGTTGGAGGAAGCTCTTAGTTAATTTCCTGATGATTCACAATGCAATCTCTACCACTGTGGCGTTTTCTCAACAACGAAAAAATTTTCGCGAAAAGCGGCCGCTTTTTTCAATTCGGAAGTTCTGCAATAACATTGGAGTTTCATAAGCCGTTTTACGTGAAGTGGCGTCGTAAAACTCGGTGAAAAACGCGATATTCGCGGTGATATGCAATAGTCGTGAAATATGTTTTTCATATCACTAGGGTGAATCTCTATTGAAAATCAATACTAAAAGTCTACCAACAGCAACTACGTTATATTCAATATAACGTTGTTGCTGTCGGTAGGTTTTTAGTATTTTAGCGAATATAATGGAGTTTCACCCTAGTGATATGAGAAACACTAGTGAAAAATATATTTCACGACTACTGCATATCACCGCGAATATCGCGTTTTCTACATCGCGTAAAACGGGTCGTGAAACTCCAATATATTCGCTGTTTCTTACCGTAAATTCTGAATGTTCTCATATATACCATCAAAACTCCACATATATGGTGAGGATGGTATGTTCCATATATTCCATCATAAATTTTAGACGTTTTCTAAGACTCCCTCAATTTCGCAACCATTTCACACTCGTTAACAATAACCATTTTCAAATACGTTACTCTACCCATCCCGACCGCGATTTAGCACGCCCTCTTCTTCCTCATTTGCGAGAGGCGGCTTCCGTCCCTGCAGAAAATCTAAGCACCTCCACAGCACACGAGGATCCGCCCAATTCGAGTATGATGATGATGATGACGATGATGATGACATAAAATGGAAACCCGCATTCTTAATAATGATAATAATAAATATTGGAGTTTCACCCGTTTTACGCGATATTCGTGGTGATATGCAGTAGTCGTGAAATATGTTTTTCATATCACTAGGGTGGTGAAACTCCAATCAGTTTTTTTTATTTTTCTCCTCGTTTTTTCATTAGAAAACAAACGAGTCGTCCTACACCCGAATTTTCACTAGCACGATAATATCGAAAAATATGGTACAGAAACCAATAAGAATTTTCCAAAATTTCCTCAGAATTTCATATTGTCACCATCACATGTGGTTGACCATGTGCGTATTTTCCCAAACTGCTGGAGTATGAATATATGTTCGCTCTCCTCAGCTGAGCTCAAGGACGTCCTCACTATATGAGTTCATATACGAATTCGGAGTGTACAGAAACCAACAAGAATTTCCTCCAAAATTTCCTCCAAAAATTTCATATTGTCACCATCACATGTGGTTGACCATGTGCGTATTTTCCCACACTGCTAACCATTGTTGGAGTAGGAATATATGTTCGCTCTTCTCAGCTCAGCTCAAGGACTTCCTCCATTTAAAGTGTACATAAACCAACAATAATTTTCCCATAATTTTCACGTATTTTCGCGCCGCGAAAGTACCCCACTAAACACAAGATCAACTCCAACCCGTTGAAGAGACACCTGGATAGGGAGATGGTTTTTCGGCAGTGATAGAATACACTCAGTTTTCATCGATTGAATAATCTCATATTTTGAGCACCTCAACAGCGACTTCTTCAGGAAGGGGAGTACTTCTGAAAAAAAGGCAATTCCAACCCTCATCTCCTCAGCTGAAATTTTAACATCAATTTTCAAACATCCGCACATGGTCAACAATATGAAAATTCTGAGGAAAGTTTTGAGAGATTTTTCTGTACACTTCTACCCGAATTCATTTATGAACTCCCACAACTACTGAGGAAACTCCTGAGCTCAGCTGAGAAGAATAAACATATATTCCAACGCCACCATCAAAATAGAACACACAGACGTCTTATCACTTCAGTGCGGAAAAAATATGCATATGGTCAACCACATATGTCGGTGACAATATAAAATTTCTGATGAAATTTTTACCATTCCCACCCAAATTCATATATAAACTCGTAAGTAAACCACTGAGAGCAGCACTCCAACGTGCTCCAACGCACATGTCCAACGTGATCGCAATACTCCGAGTATTTCATCCCAGTTCCCACACGCCTACTACCCCTTGGAAGAATCCGTAACAGTAGTGGTAGCATCCTCAACTACTTTTTCTTCGTTCGAGCTGATCCTGAAAATCAACGACAAAATCACTCCGGAAAAAAGTCAATTCTGTAGACTCTTCCGGAGACACCTGCACACAATTCTTGATACCTAGCCTGCCCTTTAGCTAGCTACTTAGTCTTGCTATATACTACTGCATTTTCCCTACTAGGAAAACTATACTGTTGTGTTTATCAGTTATCACAGAAAAAAGAGACGAAACATATGCAGTTGTTCTTTCTACACATATCCACATATTTTAATTATTACTTCTTCATACCATTCCTCCGTAACTTCTTGCTAGGAGGAGCTGCTTCCTCCTCCTCCTCAGCCGCCTTTGGATGAGGTAGATGCTGTACGGATGGGTCCTGCTCGCGGTCCTCAAATAAACGCTTCCGACGGGATCGAACCTGGGCCGTTCGATAGGCATACCACCACACTACCCACTGGACTAAATACTTCATACTAAACTACTACTATTATCACGATCACCTGTCCCGAAACACTACGGATGGATATCAGCAAGATATTATAAGAGTATTAATAGTCTACGGCTATGCTTAGCAATAACATATCATAACTAGTAATAATCATATTATCGATTTCATCAGTGTGGTAAAATTTGCACATGATGAACCACAAGTGTTGGTGACAATATCAAAACTCTGAGGAAATTTCGGAGAGTTTCTTCTAGTTTCCGTCCACTTCTCGTATATATTCTCTCGATCCGTATATGAACTCCTGCTGAGGAAAGCGAACATATTTTCAAGCACTGACGTTCACTGGAGTTTCACCCTAGTGATATGAAAAACATATTTCACGACTACTGCATATCACCGCGAATATCGCGTTTTTCACCGAGTTTCACGACGCCACTTCACGTAAAACGGGTTATGAAACTCCATTAAGTGAATCGAGTAAACTGCACATTTATCATCAAAAACTACTTATTATTACTGATTATATCTACTCCAATACGTTAATACCATTTTTATATATAAAACTCAGTTTTCTACCTCAGCATCCAACGCCTGGAAAAGTGGGGTCTTGAAGATCCCGTCGGTACTTTCAAAGAAAGTCGGCATTGCTAGACCTGAGCTCAACATCATATTTTTCACCGTCACAGAATTCTTTTCAGCACTTGAAACCATCGATTTAGTGCAATAGGGAAATCAATTTCGGCTTGCACATCTACACTCCGCATTTTTTTAGAAAATATTGATGCCGCTAATCGTGACTGTGATTTCTCTACCCGCAAAATTGATAGCCTCAACCACCACTAGAGGATCATCCAGGAACCCGCGGGAAACTCATTTTTAATTTTCTACGTATGGCTAGCAATCAGTTTCCGGTGTAGATGTCGTCACATTAGGAATATTCTTCCATTGTTATCAAACCCTGAAGAACGTTATTTCTCGACGCTAAATGAGTTTCCCACGACGATTCTTTGAAGACATAGATTCCCCATACCCACAGAGTAATTCAACTTCGAGAAGTACTCCTAATGTGGTGATGACATCTACATGGGAAACTGATTGAAGAATGTGTTCCTAGCCATCCGTGGAAAATTCAAAATGAGCTCCCACACGGGAACATTATAGATCCTCCTCCCCTACCTTCGTGCGCCTTCTCGTATTCGAACGCCTGCAAGACCATCTCGAATTTGTCAATGTCTTTAGCATAAATTGCCTGCAAAAAACACCCCCTCTAGAATCGAACCCACAGCCTCCTCCATGCTCGCCCAAACCGTTAACCACTACACCACCCTTCCCCTACTTCCTGAGACACTCCAGCTTCGAACTCATTCCACAGATCCTCAATCTCTTGAGCCGTTTCTCGGCTACCCAAATCCTCCCGTAAAAACGACAACATTTTCTGCAGGCCCTGAAATAGGATAACGCAAAACCGTAAAAAGTTCGCAAAAAAATTTACCTACGATTGAGTTCCACCCGTGATATGAAAACTACTACTACCTCCCGTTCAAGTCTGTGCTTTTCCTCTTTACTAACTCCACAGAAGGGGGTGATATCACCAGCCACCGCCTCAGCCACATCGTGAACCTGTGATCGTCATACAATTACAGCGGCGTTTCTAGCGTAAAACGCTGGGAAATGTGTTCTTCACTAGTGTCTTCCATACCGCGATATGAAATGTGTTTTTCACTAGTGTTTTTCATATCGCGATATGAAATGTGTTTTTCACTAGTGTTTTTCTTATCGCGATATGAAATGTGTTTTTCACTAGTGTTTTCCATACCGCGATATCAAATGTGTTTTTCACTAGTGTTTTTCTTATCGCCATTTGAAATGAGAAAATACAAAAACAATGCCATTTCTACGGCGTTCTGCCCCAAAATGAATAACAATTTTCATTATTTCACTTCCCGGTAATCCTACTACCAAAGCCATCCGTATAGTTCTCCCTCGATCGAAGTCCTTCTTGTCGTGGGGAGTCAACATAGCCAGCACTGCACAACGATGCATATGATCACAGTCTGATTCGGGATTAGGAACTCCACTGCGGATCCAGCCAGTTCTTCTGAAATGAGAAAAAAATAGAAATTTTTTTTCGGAAAAAATATTAATGTTTACGAAATTTACCGAATTTCTCTCACAAATCAGTTTTTTCGTGAGACAAAAATCACGATTTTTTCGGGAAAAATAGTAATGTTTACGAAACTTACCAAATTTCTCCCAGCAACCAGTTTTTGTGAGACAAAAAATTACGAATTTTTCGGGAAAAATAGTAATGTTTTCGAAATTCACTAAATTTTTCCCGAAAACGGATCCAACCCGTTTTCCTGAAATGGAAAGTCGGTAAACTTTTCGGTAAAAAATGTAATGTTTTCAAAATAAACTACATTTCTCGAAGAAGCGGAGCCAGCCAGTTTTTCAGAGATAAAAAAATCGCTATTTTTTGGGAAAAAGTAGTAATGTTATTGGAATTTACCATAATTTTCACAAATCCGAAAAAGTAGGAGTGTTATTGAAGTTTACCAAAATTTTACCCAAATTTTACCGTAACGTTTTCAATTCGCCGATAAAGTGCATAAAATCAACTATCCCCTGCGCTTCTATTTTCCTCCCAGTAGTAGTGGTAGTAGACGATGACGAAGAGGAGGAACGGAAGAATCGTGAAGATATGATGCCCATTTTTATAGGAGGAAACCTGCCAAAAAACCAGTGAGGAGCGTATTTTTTTCTGTGAAAAGCGAAGACAAAAGCGCGCGCCCGAATAATCGACGCAGTGGGGGGTCCTGAAATTGGTGTAATCGCAGCAGAAGAACGTGATTGTTGTATCATGTATTGCTCGTTACTAAGAACCGTTTCAAATGAAAATTGGTGTAATGGTTAGTTCTCCAGCAGTATATTTCGATGGTCCTGAGTTCTATCCTATGTGATGGTAACATTATTTGTTTCTTCATATAGTCCTGTACTGCGATGCCATTCATTGCCTTTTGTGTTATCCACACGATCATTGTTTTTGATCGTTATTAAATTGTTCATAGCCCTTTGCTGACTTGCCTTTTTTCATTGTTGCTGTAGACCAGCAAACATGTTGTGGTAAGTGAACTTAAGTGTAGATATGTCGTAATAACATTGGGATGGAAAGAGATGAGACTACAGCTTGAAGGATGAATATAGTGCCTTGACACTTTGTCCCGAAAGTTTAAATGATTAGGGATTAACGCAATGTACAAGACTTTGTGGAAGCATATTTAACAGAATAAATGAATGTATAAAGGTCCCTAGCGCTAAGATTCGCATAGGGATAATAGATGTCATTTGTGTCTAAACAAGGGACGAAAAGACACAATGCACAACAACTCCTTTTGCATGAAAACGGGTGACAATCATCATAGTCATCATAACTTGTGCGTCCGCACTCGTGCTTGCTCGAGGAACGATCGATATGATATTCGTGGACAAAGTGGCCGCCCTTCTGATCGGTGGTGGTTTGCATCCCTCATATTTTAGGTGTGAATCTAAGTTGATAACACGAGTCGAAAAAATTGTGAAGATCTATTCGGCATATACGTGCTGTTAGGATGGGCGAGTCTTCAGGTTCACCCGCCCTGTTACAGCTGTAGTTTATCGATTCGACGAACAATAATAGTTATTATGCAACCCTCTCAAGCTGTTACCTATTGTGTTCCATATAGATAGTACCCTAATAGATAACTTGACAAGAGTTATTAACAAGTGATTCTCAAAATATAATCAATACAGTAATCATGAAGTACACGCTAGACTAGCAAGGGAGACAGGTATCACAAGAATCCAAACTTACAGGAGACACTTGTGTACAACATTTCCTTACATGTGCAGTAACATATACGAAATTGAAGTTTCTACGGGGGTTAACGACTTTCTTGACAGTGAAATTTTGCAGTAGTGGCAACCATAAGAGAACTCAAAGGAATGGTTAATGTCTCTAGAGATACTATCTACAATCATATTCATAAAATCACCGACTAAATCCAAGCCTCCCGAATGAGATTAGGTCATGCCCGAGCCGATTAAACAGGCTGAGCTAATCCTCGTGTGTTAATGTGAAAGAATCGATGTGAAGTAAACTAAGTTGTGTTGTCAGCACCCACGCGATGATAATATTTAAGTTTCACGTGAAGTGGCGTCATACTCCATGTGAAAAACGCGATGTGAAGTGAATTAAAAACACTTCGAGAATCACCCCATATCACTTGGAGTCTCGCACGTGTCTTACTTTTGCGAAACTATGTGTGCTATATATCACGGGTGAAACTCCATTACGCAACTCCTCTCTGTGATGATTATGAAAAACTAACACGAATAATCGAGTATTTGGACGTTTTCACTCTTCTTTTTCCGTTCGCTTTCTGCGACGACAACACCAGAAATATGGGCGTATCTTTTCCCACCAAGATTCTTCCCGCTGCGTAACATCTTTCGCTGCTTCCAGATTACGGAAAGCATCATTCCACAACTGAAAGGCAATCTATGTTCAGTGTGGGAAAATATGCACATAGTCAAACACATGCGTTGATGATAATATGAAAATCACGAGGAAATTTTGGGTAGTTATTTTCATTTATACGAATTCAGGTAGAAGTGTACAAAAACCAAGAAGAATTTCCAAAAATTTTCTCGGAGTTTTCATGTTATGACCAACACACGCAGTTGACCGTGTGCAGATTTTCCCGCAAGGTCTATGTTCTAATCACGAATGAGAATAGAAGTGTTAAGAACCCAACCAAAATTTCCCAAAATTTCCTCAGAATTGTAAATCTCATCACCGACACATGTAGTTGACCATGTGCATATTTTATCACAATG